TGTGGGGTATACAGTTTTTCTGTAGACAGATTTCTTTCTAAAATGCATTGTTGCATAAAGGCAAAGCCCAGTGAATTGAAACAATGCCAATCAAAGGCAGTTTCAGAGTTGCAGTTTAACTTTTTCTTAGGTGGGATGTGGAAAATACAAAATTACAGACGTTTAGAATAGTGGTGTATCATACATAGCTCTTTGGACTTGCTGAAAATAGTGGAGTTGAGTATTCTATTAAAAATGTAACGTTTCTAATTTGACTATAGCATTTTGAACCCCTTTATGTGTGCTTTGATTTTTTTCTGATCAATTATTTCAGTACAGTTTTGTTTTTCTGTTTGCTTTTTTGAAAAAATATATATAGTATGTTTGTTTTTTCACTCGTTTTTAGTAAATATACATCTGCTTGGACTAGGCCCTAATTTGGGGCATTGGAGAATTTTATGGAAAGCTTTATGGTCTGTTTCAGAATTTAAATTTAACAATTTCTGCTTCTCTACATTTTAGACAACATTAATATTGTGATATGTGGTCTTAATTTTGTTGTAATACTGGCACTTGGACATGCAGTTTGAAAACAGTGACCTACTTAACAGCCCCCCAAAAGGATTTTATCACACAAAATTGTGTATTAATAATTGATTGTCTTGTACTAAATGAACACCTGCTAACTTGGAACATGTCATATAATAATTATAGCTTTTCTAAAGGACATCTGTACCTGTAAAAATGATTCAAAGTCCAATAAATGTTAAGTAGGATTTTCAAGTCTAGTTCCTTTTTACAAAATTAACGCTGCTATAGATAAAAATAACTACTCCTGTATAGAATAATATCAAGTATCCCATATGTAATCAAAGATTTACAAAAGTAGAAATTTCAGATTTACGTATTTTTGTCTGGGGGGGGGGATGGGAGGAGAGAGAAAATGGGAATGTGCAATTCAGGTAGCCAGCAGCTGCTGGGTCATTTACTGGTAGAGTAGCACTTCCCATTTGGACAAATATATTAATAAGAAGTTAAATCAGCACTTGTAACAATTTGGTGTGAGTACTACTTAAAACCATGAAATACTATACTATGAAAGTAGGATACAATCCTTCTGAGACTTATTTTATTGAGGGTGAAGATACTCTGATTTTACATTGGCAAAAAGGAAAAACAACCCACCCTTCATCGAGCCTTGGAAACTGCTGTAAAATTATAAGTCAGTGTTTTGCTCTCAGTTTGTATATTTCCTTAAATATCTCCTAAATTCATTGTTTTCCCAAGGCCTTTGTTTTTAGTAATGGTTTTAAATGTAGGAAGGAAATGTGTGTGATCCAGAATTTCCTAGTGCATCTTTTGTGTGGTATGACTGTCCTTCAGGCTGCCCTTTAGGCTGCCAGTTGCTAACGTTGTGAGCTTTCTTGATGCGTCTAGTAGAATGTCAATCATATTGCTGGTGGTTCATTAAATATTTAGGTGGTGGTCTTAAATTCATTTCCCTGGGTGTGTTCTCAGCCAGTACTCTGTGGCATAATTTGTAGATGAACATATATTTAAGGTTTGTTTTTTTAAAAATCTGTGGCCTTGAAAAGGCTAAATATGTTGTATAGCTGTGGAAAACACCATTACCCCTCTTTCTTTTTCATAATAGGTATTACACCCCACCCCAAGTGTAGCTCAGGCCTAGTTACATGCTTTGTGGACTCGTTAATTTCTAAGCATCACATAAATTCACTAAGTAGAATAATAATAATAATAATAATTATTATTATTATTATACACTTTCTTAAGATCTGTATACAACTCTGTCCACTCTTGAGATGATTTTTAAACTACTTTATTTAATGTTCTGGAGTTTCATTGTACAGTCACAATATAACACAATAATGCAAAGTATTCTATCTATATATCTAATAGCCAAGTTGCCCCCTCTGTGCGGATATCTAAATCTGCACATTGGGGGCACCTGGGGGGCAGTGAGATTTTCCTGCACATTGGGAGGAGGAGGAGATCGGCCGCCGGAGGGGGAGGGAAGGAGATCGACGTAGGGGGAAGGAGCGGGGGGAGAGATTGGTGCGCCACCGGAGCCGAGGCGGGGGGAGGAGATCGGCCGCCGGAGGCAGGGGGTGGGAAGAGATTGTTGGGGCCCGGCGGCTGGAAGCCTCTCAGGCTGCACCGCCGGATCTGAGGTGGGGGGAGGAGGAGACCGGCGGAGGATGAAGGAGCCAGGGGGGATTGTCAGGGCCCGGCGGCTGGCAGCCTCTCAGGCCACGCCTCTGGAGCCGAGGTGGGGGGGAGAGGAGACTGGTGGAGGGTGAAGGAGCTGGAGGGAAGAGATTGGCAGGGCCATTCAGGCCACGCCGCCGGTGTCCGGGGGGGGGGAAGAAGGCTTACCTGCTGCTGCTACCTCCTTCTGCTCTGCGTGGACTTCTTCTCCCCCCCTGCGAGTATCGCGGGTCCCCTTTCTTGTTTGATTCTAATCCATACAAGCTGTCTGAACACAGCCAGATATTAAATCAATTCCTTTCTGTACTTACAGCTAGCATCCTAGGCTACAGTCCTTAAACTCTGTGGAGAACCTGCACAAACATCCACTGTCTTAAATTACAGCCTACAAGCTTCCTTAAATTTAATAAAGCATCTTGTAGTGTGATGTTGGAATAACTTGGGTATAAAGAAATTCTGTGTTGGAAGATGTTGCAATTCTATAAAAAATGGAATAATACAGTAGAACTGGCAACCATTATATTTGTTCAGTGTCAAATTTTCTGTGTTTCATTATCTGTAACAAAAAGCTAGCAGAAAATATAACAATGTGATAATGTTTTCATCTATTTACTAGAAATAGAAATTGCATTTCATATTCTTCAAAGCAAATACACTGTAAATCATTTCTGCAGTTCTACACTCAGAAGACCAAATAAATCAGTCATTCAATTGCTTCTGGCCTATGTCTCATATTAGCAAAATAATAGGATTACAGTTCCTACTCTGCTTAATCCATTTCATTCTTCTACTTATAATAAAATTATGCAAATCATGTATCTATTCCAGTAAAATATTTTTGCCATATTTTACACTAGTTATCACTATTGCCAATATTGTATTAGGCTAATCTAGTATTTTATAGGTCACTCACTTTGTTTTAACTCTCATTTAGTTGTGTGCATAGAATGAAAACTCATTGAAGAAACTGATTTTATTAGAATTGCTTTTAAAATATGTACATTCTTGATATGTTGGCTTGAAGGTCTGAATAGAGTAGACTGAATGGTGAGCTGCGTCATAAACTGCTATGTAAAGGCAGACGAATAAATGAATTTGTGTTGTAATGAGGAATTTAAAATAATAGCTATAACTACTTTCTCAACAGCAGCATACTCTTATTGCAGATTGCCTAGTTTAAATGTCAACAGTGTATTAGGTCATGTCATGTGATTACTCTTTATTTTTGAGTTGTAGTTTTGTTGCTTTCTATGGTTTGGATGCAAACGAGCATTTCTACAGGCACAAGGAAGTACTATTTTTCCATCTTCCCTCCTCCCCCGCAGCAGCCTGAAATGCTGTCCCCAGTCCTGTTCTGAGGATTTCAGAGAGCATTTTGGTCTGTGGAGGGGGGAGACTGAAATTCTCGCACCTGTGGGACTGCCAGCCTGGATCTGGAAATGACAAATGTTGGGAAATGGTCAGTATTACATTGTTAACTGCAAACTCTGCAGTTGCTGAGGCCCAAATTAGGTTACTCAGAAGTGCTTGGGGTGGGAAACACCCCAAACAGGGCCTTTAAATGTGGACACTTTGTTTTGTTAGTAGAATGCTGTTAAAAAGTTCATGGGAACTCTGTGAAATGTAAAATGCCTTTGTTTTAAGTAGACTACTGTTGTTTCTTGCTAACAGTGGTGTTATTCTATTAGTGTGAAGTAGAATTTAGTAAGCCTATAAACTATCCAAAATATTTGTGCTTGAACTGGAAGGTTGGCTTTAATGCACTTGAGTTTTCATTGTGAAAAGAACCTGAATATGTGCAGAAAATTCTTGGACTCGTCAATTCAGTGGTGGTAAAGTGAATTATTAGCTTGTGAATAGAATGAATTGTAAATGTAATAATATAGCCATTCAAAATCAAATATAGTCATCCTGTTGGAGAGAGATTTGTCAAAGTAATTATTATGCTGGAGTTCTAATTATGTTTTGTAAGTCATCTTGAGCCGATTCCTGCAGAGGTGACATGAGAATTTAATTCTTGAAAATAATAGCTTCACGCACAAGAGAAATCTGGCTATATACTACTAGTTCCAGAAGGATTTTTTTTACCTCTCTTCACCCCCTCTTCTACAGTAGCTCATGTTCATGGGAAGCTGACCTTGAAACATGAATGCATAGTTAGTAAGCATGTGATGTGTCATTAATGCCCAACTCCCCCAGTAAATATTCCAGTGGGTAGGCACGGTTTGTTTGGGTTGATGTGTTTAATTGGGCTCTTTGTTGGCTTTACTCTTTCTGTAATCGATCATTTAAATTAACACAGTGATTTGATTTATTAAGCATACAAAATAGATAACATAGTAGCATCAAGTGTATAAGGTCTTTAAATTTATAATATTTTCCTTATGCAAAATGAAATAAATGAAGTAAAAAATGTAAACTAGCTTTTTGTAATACGTTTAGGGCTCTTTTAGTTAGCTTCCAGAATATTTATATACAGAAATAATGGATTTTCAATAGTTGGTTTGGCTGTTCTGTAATACTGTTTGCATAGTTACTATAAAGTGATTTGTTATCATCCTCGTTAAGTGGTCATTAAACAGCTACTCTCATTCATACCCAGTTCTCCCTTTAAATTATAGGGATAATACTCTTGTAAGGATTACTGTGATAATGTATGGGAAGCTCCTGGACAGTCAAAGTACAATACAATGCCAAAGAGTATTACTAATAAATTTAATGCATTTCAAGGAATTAACATCTAAGAATTCTTTAACAGAGAAAGTAAGGATTTATTTCACTTGTTTCTGTAGTTACGTTAAAATCATCAGGATCTGCAAAACTTGATAGAAATGGCATCCAGGACAACTGCCGAACAACTAAACCTGGAGAAAGTATACATCTATTAGAAGGAGAACTTTTACTACAGGTATGTCTAATGGTTATGTTTAATGTGTATAGGGAAACAAATATATTTACATTATGATTAATCTAGCTTACTAAATTATTAGTATTGGTGGATATTTTGTGCCTAATCAAATTACATCAGTCTTTTTTACATTTTTCTCCCAAGATTGTAACATTGTTGCTCTTACTACCATGAGTGGTGCCTTTATGGGCTTACTTTTTATGGCAGCATTTGATGCAGCACAAAGAAACGTTAGGATCAAGTCTATGTATGTATGGAACTACCCCAGTGTTCATGAATACTTCCCAGCCTCTGTAGTATTTTTCGTAATCTATCTAGGTACATTTTTGTTGGGCTTTTGTCCAGGGAGTTCATAGCAGATGCATAGTTTTCTCTCCTTCATTTTACCATCACACCAACCATGTAAAGAAGGTTAGACTGAGAGAGAGAACAAGTGGCCCAAGAGCACCCAGAAATCTTCATGACAAAGCAGGGATTTGAACCTGGTTTTCTTAGATTCTGACACTAACCAGTATACCACACTGGTTTAGTGCTGGTATTGGTGAGATGGTTTTTAAAAAGCATGATAAATGGTTCTAAGCAGCAGTATTCTTGGGTGCGAAAATTAGTTTTCCTAGGTGCCGTTAAGAGTTAGAACCTGAAGGTGGTAATATTTTGTAAAATTGTATACGTATTAACTTTTATCTGTATTTCTGCTGGTACATACTTACATTTCATTTTAAAATCCTCTTTTAAACACGCAACAACAATTAACTTTCTACATTAAATGAATTGCTATCCTATCTTTAGGCATTAAATGGCTTCGTTTTGGTGGTCACATGTGATGCGCTCATATTTTACGTCTCTTCTACAATCCAGGATTACTTGGGTTTCCAGCAGGTAAGCATTCTGCTCGCATTCAAGAAGAAAGATGATCAGTTCCAGTGTTTTGGATCTGATTAATGTTACAAAGGGTGGTTTAACTGTTTATGGTTGCTTCTTGAAGAACCATTGAACTTGAACTGCAAAGGACTGCTTCAGATAGGAACCACAGAAAGTTGGTCTGCAAGTTGATCTCATCTTCACCACTCCCACTGTTTTTTCTTTCTCTTCCCTGAATGCTCTAAGAATTCTGCTCGAATTCAAGAAGAAAGATGATCAGTTCCAGTGTTTTGGATCTGATTAATGTTACAAAGGGTGGTTTAACTGTTTATGGTTGCTTCTTGAAGAACCATTGAACTTGAACTGCAAAGGACTGCTTCAGATAGGAACCACAGAAAGTTGGTCTGCAAGTTGATCTCATCTTCACCACTCCCACTGTTTTTTCTTTCTCTTCCCTGAATGCTCTAAGCATTCTGCTCGCTTCCTTCTCTCTTTCTCACCCACCAACCAGCCTACATTTATCTACCCTCCCGTCTTCAGCCTTCCCTCCCTGGCAACATCTCCTAGAGAAAAGTGCATGATGCTGACTGCCAGGCTGGGCACAGTTGCTGGCTGCTGAGATGGACCCAGTTGCACAGTGGGGAACCCACAAGGACTTATGGAGGGCACCTCATTTTCCCCCTGTATCCCCTCCCCACACTTTTCTCTTGTTCTTCACTTGTTTGCCCCATCAATCTCACCCACTAATCAACCAACCTTTTATCTGCCCCTCATCTTCAGCTATATTTGTTATTTATTTTCTGTAAAAGGCACACACCACAGCTGTATCCTGGTGCCTTTGCATTTTAACTTGTACATAAACGATATGGTTGAATACTTGTCAAGTACACAATATTTTCCAGTTAGGCTTGGAGAGAAAACGATTCCATCACTCCTTTATGCTGATGATACATTACTCATATCCCCTCACAAATTGGCCTTAGAAGACTTTTAAAACAGTTCAGCCTCTATTGTAAAAACAATTTACTGAAAGTCAGTTATGACAAAACTAAGGTAATAGTTTTGAGTAAAAGGCCCCATTTTCATAAATGGATGATGGATGGGAAATGGTTAGAACAAGTGTCCTCTTTTAGGTATCTCAGGGTAATTTTTCAGAGCTCTTGTTCCTGGTCAGCACATATCAAGCATGCAGAGAGGAAATTCAAAAAGGCTATGCTTGATATCCTTAGATTCTATAGAACAAGGGGAGGCTATTTGGTACCTCCATTGCTAGAAATCTATAAGACTAAGGTGTTGCCACAAATACCATACGGAGCTCCAATTTGGGGGACTGGTAATTTACAACCATTGGAAATCATTCAGAATAAGTTTACCTATATGCTATTAGCAGTCTCTAATTCCACACCAGCAGCCATAACTAGATTGGAATTGGCTCTATCACCAATATTGGTCTCAACCCATAAAGTTACTATTAATTATTGGTTGAAAATTCAGTTCATGTTTCTTAACCACGGCTTATGAGGAAGGGAAAAGCAATTTGTGGCAAAGTTATATATTGAATCTGGTAGCCAAGCTTGGATTTTCAGAAGACTATTTAAGAGGGCTTGACTTCTTTGCAGCAAAGCAATTAATAAATCAAAGACTGCTAGCTATAAGTGTTCAGATGGATGCTGCACTGCTTAGTACTTCGAGAATAGCTCCACTTTACAAGCATCTTGCAACTTCTCCTTTAACTCTTCCATCTTACGTTATCGACTTACTTAATCCTAAACATAGGAAAGCATTTACCAAAGCATGTTTGGATACCTTGCAATTGTTGATGGTAAGAGGTCGTTACAATGCAATCACATATAAAGAACATGTCTGTAGTTGCAATGAGATTTCTATTGAGGATCTAGGCCATTTGGTCTTTTACTGCCCAAGATTTGCCAAGATAAACCATCCACTTTAATGTGGCTGATGGATAAATTTATGTATTTTGTCAAGTATCTGACTGAATTGCTTGAATTGATGTTGGTTTTAGCTATGATCTTAATGATCATTTACAAAATTGTAATGTTTATTAGAGTTTTTATTCTTGTGATTGTTCCATTATGACTCTGATGTTGTTGGTATTTTTGGTTTTAATTGTAAGGCTGTGAGCTAATGCAATAAAATGTATGATTGATTGACTGATTGACTGTATTTAACAATGTGGACCCAGAACAGCTTACATAGTTCTCCTCACTTCTATTTTATCTTCACAACAACCTTAGGAGGTAGGTTAGGCTGAGACAATTTGAGTGGCCCAAGGTCAAGCTCCCATGGCAGAGTGGAGATTTGAATGTGTGTATCCAGTTCCTAGTCTGAAGTTCTAACCACCCTTGAGGTGACTGCTGTTGTACAGTAACAAGAAGCTGGGCCTGGTTGAGTCATGCAAGTCATGTGGTAGCAAGTAGCCTGGTGATTGCTGGCAGGTCTGGCCCAATGAGTCCTCTCTCAAAGTCTAAAACAGCCCTGGAAAGGGTATTTCTCCCCTGAGGCGGAGGCCATCTTGTGGGTGATTCCCATCCTTCTTCAGGGAGGCAGGACTAAGTAAAAAAAAACTTCTTCCTGTTTCCTGGTGGGAGTCACCCAGGCTCAGTTCTTTTCCTGCCTCAGTAGGGAGCGCAGCATAGGGTTAGCCTTGCTAACAAAATTCTTTTCCTGTCACTAATACCACCTTCTAAAATCTAACCTTTCCTTTTAACTATAGTTCCTCTTTACTTTCTCTCTCTTTCTCTCAAAAAAAAAAAGGCTCGTCTCCCCTCTTCCCCTCCCTGCCCCTTCGGGGGCAATAATTGACGAACAGTCCTTCAGCCGTGACTGTTTCAACAAAGAGATTATGGCTCATAAGGGGGAAAATGACGGCTTCCTATCAGGACCAGAAGCCGACACCGACGGGCACGACACTTCTGGCCGCGGCACGAAGAAACGGAACGCTTCGCCTCACGGGGCGGAGAAGAACGAAGCCGCTGAGCCTAAGCGCGCCAAAACTGCTATGCGCGCATTCAACGAGCCCGGGTCGGTAGCGGCGGCCATTTTAACGACCGATAGCCGCACACTTTTACAAGACGGGGGTGGCTGCCATTGCCTAGACCCGCACCTTGAGGCCCCAGGAACCTCGGGCACATGCGGGGGTGCCCAACCCGCTCACGGAAGGCTGGAATCCGGAATGATCGATGGGATAGAAGGCTTCAGGAGCGGTAACGTTATGCATAATCCCCCCCCCCTTCCCATTTCTCCTGGGGCAATGGCCTTGTTTAGACAGGCTATGAGAGAGGAGATTGCTCTTTTCTATGCAGCGGGCGGTCAGGGCCATCACCACCGCACCACTAGACTCCCCCCGTCTCGTTCTCCTTCCCCCCCTCGCCCGAAAGCCAAAGGCCAGGGAAAAAGAACCGCCAAAACTTCCAGGGACAGTGTTCCCCTGGGTCCTAAAGACTCCAGACCTGAAGTTGATACAGACCTTTCTATGGGGGGGGCAGAAGCTGAAGAGGTAGAGCTTCTTACATCTCCTCACGATAGTGACAGAGAGGAGGGGGAATTTTCTTCGAACTCTGAAACTGAAAGGGAGTTACCCGCAAAGGCTTCCACTCCAAAAGAAAAGTCTTTTCGTTTTTTCAAACCAGACGATCTGCAATACTTACTAACAAAGACCTTATCAGCCCTTAAAATTCAATCCTTACTCAAACCTGCAAACACTTCTCAAGGCCAATCTGAACAGGCTGAGAACTCTGAGATTACAGACGAAATGTTTCCTCCTGAAGATTACTTGGAGGATGCCTTTCCTTTTCCAGATTTTTACTTAAGAAAAATTAAATCAGAATGGTCTACCCCCCTGTCAAGCAGGCCTATCCCGGGGGCAATTAAGAGGCTGTATCCTATGACTTCCTCAGTTTCTCATTTGCTACAGGTTCCAGCTGTGGATGCACCTGTGGCTGCATTACAATCCTCTGGTCTACTAGCTGAGGACGGCCACGGCAATTTAAAAAATAACTTAGACAAAAGGGCCGATCATGCCCTAAAAAGGGCTCACGAAGCGAATGCCCTAGCTATTAAGGCCTCCGCAGCAGCGTCCACTGTTTCTAGAGCATCCATAGTATGGATG